CAAAACTTCTCGTACCTTCTTAATACGCCGGTCAGCAACCAGATGTTGACATGGGAAGGAGGGCACAGCTGTAAGTCAAACATCGATCTTAGAGAAACCCTGTATTTAACGATTCATTTAATTACTGCAGCAAGGTTGGTGTATGCACAGAATTGGAAAAATAAAGATATCCCAAATAAATTGGAAATATTGAAGAAAATTACAGTGTGCGCAGAAATGGATAAATTAACCCAAGAACTTAAAAATAAGGAAGATTCGGATTATTATAAAACATGGGAGAAATTTTACGGTTGGCTAGAGATGAGGAAGATCAATGAGAATAAGGAATGATTATATGTATATTTAAAGTGTATAGATGAAAATTATGTAATATTAGATTTGGATTTAGCAATGTAACGACAATGATCGACGTTAGGGAAACTGTACCACGTCCAACTTTTTTACTGTAAGAATTTTGTGTCATTGTGTTTGTTTAATCGTTTAATAAAGAAATTTTTTTTAAAAAGTCAAACATCGATCACATGTCCACTTGTCCAACAGGTTTGGAGGGAGCCCTGAATGGCTGGCCCCCATCATCCTGGCAAACCGGTTTAAGCCAGACTGGGTTTGATGGAGAGACGGGGGGGGGGGCTGCTACCAGTTTGCCCCAGATCAGGTGAACCGTTAGCTAATTTTATCATTTTTAATTACTGGTTTGGCGACCCCGTAAATCCCTCCCCTGGCCGGCCCCGCCAGCCCTGCCCCTCCCAGAAGTTCCCAAGTGGCCCGTTTTGGATGCCAGGTGGGCCTGCCTGGAGACTTGGGGAGGGCGAAAAACGGACTTCCCAGAAGTTCTGGAGCCCATTTTTGCCCTCCCGGAAACTCAAGGAAAGCCTCCAGTGCCCAGGGAGAGTGAACCCCGCCGCCATGGTGCAGGAGGCTGACTAGGCCGCAACTAGGCCACACCCACCATGGCCATGCCCAGAGAAGAGAACTGGTTTTTTAAATTTTTAAACCCCATCCCTGGGATAGGGGAATCTAAAAGGAACCGGCTTCGGTGCTTTGTACCTGTTCGGCGTTCCGGGTTCAAGTTGCCTCAATGCGCGGGCATCTCAAATTCAACTCTTGGCAGCTTCTCCTGAATGCCAGGTTGGCATACATCCAGGCTGACTTAACCTGGCGGTCGCTGTTAACTGATGAAAGCCAGTTAGATAAGATCTAGATAAGATCTGATCTGACATGGTGTTTTCCCACGCTGTTTATTATCCCCCATTCTGCATTTTGCATTTGGGACTCTGCAATTGGGATTCTGAGTTCTACTGTGCATTCTTTGCTGTGTATTTATTCTAGGTTCTGCCTTCTGGGTTCTGCCTTCTGTATTTATTCTGCGTTGTGTATTCTATAAACCCCAGTTAGATTTGTCAGACACATTTAGACCCACACTTCCCCCAAAATAAGACCTAAGCAGAAAATAAGCCCTAATGCATGTTTTGGAACAAAAATTACTATAAGACCTGGTCTTATTTTTGGACAAACACAGTATACACACACACACACACACATACACATATGTACTGTGTTTGTCCAAAAATATATACCGTGTTTCTCATATAATAAGGCTGGGTCTTATTTTTTTTTGAGCCCCCCCAAAATGGCTAGGCCGTCTTTTCGGGGGTGACTTAATTCCCCCCCCCTTGCATCTTCGGGTGGGTGGGCAGCAATGGCTGGGATGTTGACCTCGGCGTTAGTGGGGCACTTCGTATCGGGGTCAATGCAGGCAGCACCATATCCGGGGGTGCAACAAAAGTACTTCCTAACGGAAAGCGCCCCCACCATTTCGCATGTTTTAATATAGGCCTTAATTTGCGGGGAGGGGCTTTAATTTCATTTCATGCCTATAAAACATGCTGGGACTTCCTATTGGGGGAGGCTGTATTGTTGGAGAAACAGGGTATGTATGTATGCATATATATGTGAGTATCTAGGTACTCGACGTGGTGATTGAGTCCCAAATTTATGTGGCTAAGTGAGAAATTTGTTAAGTGAGTTCCCCACCCCACTTTTACAACTTTTTCTGCCCCAGTTGTTGAGTGACCCATTGCAATTCTTCAGTGAGTCAGATGGTTGGTAAGTGAATCCAGCTTCTCCACTGACCTTGCAAAAGGGGATCACCTGACCTGGGGACATTTTTGCAACCCTGTTGTAACTATGAATCAGTGGTCAAGCATCCTGAATGTAAAAATCACGTGATCAGAGGAAAGCTGCAACGGCCGTTAAGTATAAAAAATGGTCATATAGGTCACTTCTTTCAGTGCAGTTGTAAGTTCGAATGGTGTAAATGAAATGTTGTAAGTCGAGGACTGACCTGTGTATAGGGCTACTATCACTTCTCCTGATGTTGATGCTTCATATATAAACACACAGATAGATAGATCGGTAGGTAGGTAGATAAGTAGATACAGTAGATAGATACAGTAGATATAGATGATTTAGATAGATAGATAGATAAAGATAGATACGCTAGATAAATATAGATAGATGATATAGACCAGGGATTGTCAACCTTTTTGGATCTTGGGGACCACCAAACTCATAATTTCAAATCCCCCGGACCATTACTATGAATTTTGGCTGACGGTGGCTTGCTGACGCGGGTGGGAAAGTCGGCCCCACGTTCCAGAGCTGCAGGAGTCACAGGACGGGCCCTCTGGATCGTCCCGGAGCAGCTGCTCCTCCAACTAAGTGAACCGGCCTGCCATGGACTGGAGGAGCTGCTGCTCCGGGATGACCACTCTTGGGACTCCTGCAGCTCTGGAATAGGGGACCGACTTTCCCACCAACGTCAGCAAACCACCCCGGGGCGGATTTCCCTCTCCCGTTGGTCTTACCTTCCAGTTCCAGCTCACGTGGCTCTACTCAAGGTAAGGTTTCCTCTCGGCCGAAGGGTGGGGGCCAGCGGGTGGGCGGGCCGTGTGGGCAGCGCAGCCTTGTGTTCCTGCGCAGCCTGGATTAATTGCTTGAGGGGGAGTGTTTTGGGGGGGACATTTCTCTGTGAACCACCAACATTTTTTCGTGGACTACCAGTGGTTCCCAGCCCACTGATTGATGACCACTGATATAGACAGATATTGATTGATGGATAGATGGATGGATGGGTGGATACGGTAGATAGATATAGATTAGATAGATAGATAGATAGATAGATAGATAGATAGATAGATAGATAGATGATATATAGATATAGATGAGATGGATGGATGGATGGATATGGTATAGATGATATAGATGGATGGATGGATGGATAGATATGGTAGATAGATATAGATTAGATAGATAGATAGATAGATAGATAGATAGATAGATAGATAGATAGATAGATGATATATATAGATGGATGGATAGATGGATACAGCAGATAGATATAGATTAGATAGATAGATACGGTAGGTAGATACAGTAGAGAGATTATATTTGATATAGACAGACATTTATGCATATACATATAGGTATACACACATGGGCTATATAAATATGGCATATTATATATCTGTGCATATATGTATATTTGTAATGTGTATATGTTGGAAGTAAAATATGGTCCAGTTGCAAGCTGAGAGAAAGACTCTGGAGCCAATGAACATGGAGGGAAGCTGCAAGAAAGGAGTTTTCCCTTTAGTATTTAGGAATGAGAAGCGAAGTGTCAGTCTGAGAGTCAGTTCTGGGACAACGGGACCACCTGGCAGGGGGAGCAGAGTGATTTTTATATCCTTTTGGACCTTTGAGATTGAGACGTCTAGAAGGTGGGGTGATTCAATTTGGTAATTCTAATCGTCCGTTTGGTTTCCTTGGTGGTGGTCAGGGTGAAGGGGGCAAAGGAGGGGAATGGAAATTCTGGGGGACTTTTGCGTTTCCTGACTCGATCCTTAGTCCTGTCCATTCAGCCTGGCTCGGTCTTCCAACTTGGGTTACTCCAGGCCATTCTGGCTGGGAAGCTGGAATCGCTTTAGCTTCCAGGAATGGGTTTTCACAGTGTATGTGTGTGTGTGTGTGTACGCGCATATGTGTTTGTATGTATCTGTGTATGTGTGTGTCTGTCTATGTGTGCATATGTGGGTGTGTGCATGTGTATATATGTGTCTGTGTGTGCATGTGTGTGCATATGTGGATGCATATATATCTGTGTGTGTGTCTTAAGAGAGTGTTGCATATGTATCCATATATCTGTCTTTATATATCTTTTGTTATTATTTATTTATTTAATTTGTCAATTGCTTACAAGATAATAGGTATACGTATATACATAGTTATGAATACATGAAATGGGGACATCTAAGAAAAATAAAAGAAACAATAGGACAGGGACGGTAGGCACGTTGGTGCGCTTATGCACGCCCACCACAGACCTCTTAGGAAAGGGGGTGAGGTCCATAGTAGACAGTCTAAGGTTAAAAGTTTTGGAGGTCTGTGTGTGTGTGTGTCTGTGTAGTTATGTATCTGTGTGTGTCTGTCTATATGTGTGTATATATGGGTGTGCATGCATATGTGTATGGGCGTGTATATGTTTATATGCATGTGTGTGTATATGTGCCTATATGTGTATATATATATCTGTGTGTATGTGTGTGTGTATGTATGCATGTATGTATGTATACAATTTTTTGCTATGCCAATTTTTTGCATCAGCCAATTTTGAAAAACGAAAATAAATAAAAGTAAAGCGCCCAGTTGGGGAATATTCCACTTCTCCTTCTGCCGGAAGCTAACCAATCCTCCTACCACCACCGCCGCCGCTTCCCTCTGTAAAGCCGCCGCTCTCTCCCTGCTCACTCTATGATTCTTCGAACCCGTGCGCATTCGTGGAAGGAGGAAAGGGGAGGGGAGAGAAAAAGGCGCTCCCGCGTGACGTCACTAGCGGACGGCCCATCTGAGGCTGCGCGAAGTGGAGCGGAAGTTGCGCATGCACCGGAAACGCAGGCCGCGCTCTGGCCCCACCCCGGTCTCACCCAGCACTGGGGAAAAACGCAGGGTCCGACACCCTTGCATCACTGGGACACCTCAGCGGCGTTGAGAAAACGACCGGAAGTTGCGTGTGGGGTGCCTGCGTAAGCCGGAAGTGTAGGCCCCGCGCCTGCCCCTGAGAAGCCCTGGGAAAAACCTCAGCGGCGGAGGGAAGAGGACCGAAAGTGACATCGCGGCCCCGGAAATGCAGGCTCCGCGCCTACCCCTGAGGCACCCTGTTCCCCTCGCGCTGAGGGGAAACGGCGGCAGGAAAGGGACCGGAAATGACGTCCGGCGCCGGAAATGCAGGCCGCGCGCCGCCCCTGAGGCGTCATGGCTCCGCTCTGAGGTAAAATAGGGAAAAAAGGCGGCCATGGCGCCGATGGGGATTCGGCTTTCCCCGCTCGGGGTGGCCGTCTTTTGCCTGCTCGGCCTGGCTGTGCTCTACCACCTCTACTCGGGCTTCCTAGCCGGCCGCTTCGCCTCCTTTCTCTTGGGCGGGCCTCATGCGCTGGCCGGCAGCGACGGCTTGGTGGACTTGCGGGAGTTGCTGGCCGCTTCAGTGGCGGCGGCGGTCCGCGGCGGGGCCGAGGTGCGTCGAGTCCGCGAGGACAACGCGCTGCACCCCCTGGTGAAAGGAAAGACCCGCGAAGGGGCCGAGGAGAAGATGACCAGCGGCGACCTGCTCTCCAACCGCAAGATGTATTTCCTCCTCAAGGCCGCCTTCCCCGACGTCCAGGTGAGGGGAGGACGCCAAAGCCCATCCTCCGCCGCCGCCTTGGGGTGTCTGGGAGATGAGAGCGCCCGTAGGCGCCGGGTTGGGCAAAGGGGCGGGGGGGAGGGAGACTCAAGCAACGCAGAGGGGAAGCTGGATGGACTACAAGGCCCAGAATCCCCATCCAGGATTCTCCAGCCATGCTTTAAGTGGGGTGGGGTTCAAACTCCCATGATTCCCGGCCAGCCATGCACGTGAGGAAAAGCCAAGTGGGGTTCAGCTCCCATGATTCCCAGCCAGCTGGTTGCCCGATTAGAAACGGATGGATTTCAATCATCATTGAAGGTGCGGGTCTCACTTCGTGTGGAAAAGCTTACACAACGGTGTCCCGGTTTGTGCAGTACGACTACAACCTGGGATGGGGCCAGGGAAAAGCAGAAGTTGCACACTGTTGTAACCTGCCTGTTGTCACATATTGCGCTAATGTCAGGTGTCTTTAACTCAATCCCAAAGTGAAGCAACACCAGGCCGATCCGGCAAGTTTCCTAAAAGGGAGCATTGTGAAAACATAGCTAGTCCTCAACTTATGACCGTCATCTTCATATTTTAATGACCGCATAATGCCTTGCACCCTGCACCCCGGAGTCTGGGCAACTGAATGGTGCTAGCAGAGTGTTTTTGAATGGCCAGATGCCCTTCCTGTGGCCAGGGCGGAGTTTTGTTCAGCAGATATATTCCCATTGTGCTGAGAGAGAGAGAAATATCTGCCTCTACTTAGGATCGAACTCACAGCCTTTGGATTGTGAGGCAAGGACTCCACCTCTAGGCCACTGCACCATTCCCGACTTCCAATCAGTTGATGGGTTTTCTTGCTACGTTGGTTGAGCGAATCGTTCTACAGGCAGTCCTTGACTTACGACTGTAATGGAGCCCCCGATAAAGCGCGAGGCATCGGTTAAATGAGCTCCATCCCCTTTCTTGCCACCATTGTTAAGTGAATCACCGCAATTGTTCAAATCAATCTGGCTTCTCCCTTGCCGTTGCTTGTCGGACGCACCCATGGTCACAAGTATAAAGTGGTGGCCAAGCATCGGAATTTCGAGGACGCAATTAGGGGCAGGCTGCAAATGTCATAACTCTGAAACACACGGCTGCTGTAATTTTGGAATGGCCACTAAATGAACTATCTAAGTCAAGGACTACCTGTCATCAGTAAAAGTTGGCCAGTTTTAAATGAATCTGGGTTTCAACCCAGGTCAGAAAATGGGAACTGACATGATCCTGGGACGCTGCGGCTGTCATAAGTATGAGTCAGCTGCCAAGCCTCCAAACGGAAAGGATGGGATGCTGCAACTGTCGTGAGTGCAAATCATGCTCATAAGTCACAGTTTTCAGTGTCGCAACTTGGAATGGTCACTAAATGAACGGTTGTAAGTTGAGGACTACCTGTACAGAATTTGACACCAGCTGTAAAAGGGAGCAAAAATAGCATTTCGGTGGGAAGCCTTATTGGTTTCATGTTGAAGCTGTTGGGTAATATTTGTGACATTATATTCTGGGTTGTCGTTAAGAAGGAAATGCATTATGGATAGTGGAGTCCTCGCTGATCTCTGAGCTTGGCTGGTTTTTTTGAAGATGTTTCGTGACCAAACTAAGGAATATGATCAGTGCTAGAATGGAGAGGAAGAAGAGGAGGGAATGGGGTGGGGTGTCCTCTATTAGCTGGGAGGTTTTCTTGCAGACATCTCATGACCCAACTAGGGAACATCATCGGGGAGGGAGGGAGGAAGGGAGGAAGGAAAGGACGGCTGACTGATTGACTGACTGACTGTAGGGTCTTTGGTGCTCCCTGAGCTGGGTGTCTTTCTTGCAGACATCTCATGACCCAACTAGGGAATATCATCAGAAGAGTGAGGAGGGAAGGAAGAGGAGGACTGTGGGGTCCATGGTGCTCTGTGTACTTGGATGTTTTGTTTGGCTCACCTGGGGAATATCGTCAGTGCTGGAAGGGACTATATAAACAGCAAACCCCCTCTTTCTTTTTTAGCTGATGACACTATGTAGTTGGGTCATAAAATGTCTGCAAGGAAACTATCAAGCTCAGAGAGCATCAAGGGCCCCACAGTCATTGTCGCATTCTCCTCCTACTCTTCCTCTCCACAAACCCCACTCTCTTCTAGCACTGAATATGTTACCTAGTTGGGTCATGAACATCCGCAAGGAAACAGCCAAGCTCAGAGCACCAAGGACCCTACAATCTTCCTTGTTCTTCCTCTCTCTCCTCCTCCTCCCTTCTAGCACTGATGCTGTTCTCTAGTTGGGTCATGAAACGTCTGCAAGAAAACCATCAAGTTCAGAGAGCAATGAATCTTCCTCCTCCCTCTTCTCTTCCTCCTCTCCGCAAACCCCACTCCCTTCTACCATTGACAACGTTCCTCAGTAATAAAAGGTCCACAAGCCCACTCGGAGGCTTAAGAGAGCATCCCAATTCAACCATGAGGTACCTAACTGTTTTCAACATGCCTGCATGGATTTCACGATGGCCAATGCGTCCCTTTCCCTTTCTTTCCCTTTAGATCAACAGCGAAGAACACGTGGATGAAAACAACCCAGAGATCATCGCCTGGGACCGCATCATTCCTGACGATATTGCGCGGCAGGTCCAGCCGAAATTGGTTCCAGCCGAGAGCATCACCATGTGGATCGATCCTTTGGATGCAACTCAGGAATACACAGGTAACAATGACCAACTCTGAGAATAATATTTCTATCATGTCTCTTTCTCTTTTATCTATCTATATCTATCTTCTAAATATTATCTATCATGTCTGTCTATCATTTATCATTAAATATTTACTTATCTAAATACTATTTACTTCTCTATAATTTCTGTATCACTTATCTTCTAAATATTTGCTTATCTTTGACGTCTATCATTTATCATCTAAATATTATTTACTTATCTATGATGTCTGTATTATCTCTCTAATCTATCTCTCTATATTCTCAATATTATTTACTTATCTATTTATCATGTCTATATTATATTTATCTTCTAAATATTTATCATCTGTCTTTTATCATCTAAATATTATTTACGTCTCTATAATGTCTATCACTTATATTCTAAATATTATTTACTTATCTATTTATCATGTCTATCTTTACCTATATATCTATATCCATCCATCCATTAAACATTATCAATAATAATGAAAAACACTATCAAAACATTAAAGATTATCAATCATAGCAAAGAAAAAAGACAAGGTTCAAATTCCAAAACCCTCTGTTGCCAAGCCACATAACGACCAAGTGAATTTTGCCCTGTTTGATTATCTCCCTGGCCCGATAGGTTATTTTTTAAGGGAATCCCTGCAGTTGTGAAGTGAGTCACATGGTCATTAAGTGAATATATACACATACACATACGTACATTTCAGTTTATTGCTGTCTTAGACCAGAGACCAGAAGAAATAAAAACATTTGGTGAATCTCCAATTAAAAATTCTAGAGTAACTAATTTCAGAGCAAATTTACGATAAAATCCAGTCTGTCAATTCCTCTATAGTATAGTAAAATAACAATCTAGTAAGGTTTTTTATTATTATAAACATGCATGTTTTATGAACGTTGCATTAACTGGGTCAATTCTTTTTTAGGCAACAATAACTAGAATAGAGACAGGTATATGTAGTTCTAATCTTCCAATTTCCACAACTTCAACAGAACTGATCTCTTTTCATAATCAAATTCTCATTTTCCCATTAATTCATTTAAACATAAAGAACATTTCTTTGTGTCTTGTATTTATAATCCCTAAATACTATTATTAATATTTTCTAAGAATTATTCATAGTTCAACCATCGTTTCAATATTCCAAATGTGTAGGGTTAATAATAACGCTAAATATTAATGTTTAGTCAATCCCGAGGGAGTATCTCAAAATCCCACACAATTCTAGTCCTTGATTATTTTAAATCCATAACATATAACACGTTATTAAATATTAATAATACAGTTTAATTACCTAATCCTGATTCCCATATACAGTCTTCACTTATTTAGATTATGTTATTAAATTATATTTTCTATTAATGTACATACAACGGTTCCCCTGTCTATATATTCCCATTTTATTGAAATATTTTCTCATCCATCTTTTGATCTTTTTGAAATTCCATCATTTATTGATTTTTAAAAAATCAACCTTTTATCTCTCTCTTGGAGTCTTGTATTTCTCTCTCTCTCTCTCTTTTTGTACCTACTAATCTTCCCTTTCTGAGCACCTTTTATCTCTTTCTTCTGTTGTATTTGAACTCCCATCAACAAAACTTCTTTTTGATTTTTCTATTAAGGAGATTTTTTTCTCTATGCTATTATAAACTCTATTCTATTATAAACAATCCATGGGGGGACTTTCCTGTAGATGTTCGGTTAGTCACGTGGTTGTTCAGTGAATTTGCCTTGTCAGAAGGTCGCAAAAGGGGATCATACCACACACACACACACACACACACACGATATTGCAACCGTCCTAAAGAGCCTCTGAATTTTGCTCGTGCAACCACAGGGACGTCATATGGTCGAACAACCGGTCCTGGGTCGCTTTTTAATCAGGGCTGTGGCAAACTTCGAACAGTCACTAAGTTGGAACCGTGGTAAGCCGAGGACTTGCTGTAATTTTCTGTTTGTTTGTGTGTTTGTTTTTATGCTCGCTTTGTTTTTGCACCGACATGTGACGCAAGGGTTTTTTCTCTGCTTCCCCTCCAGAGAATCTTTCCCAGTACGTCACCACGATGGTGTGCGCGGCAGTGGATGGGAAACCAGTCGTCGGCGTCATTCATAAGCCATTTTCTGGATATACCGGTAATTGGCTTAAAAGTCTGTAAGAGATTTTCCATCATCCAGGTCAGGAGTCACCAACCTTTCGGACCTTAGGGACTACTAAATTCATCATTTTAAATCTTTTGACCCAAAAGTGGCACCAGGTTTTATTTGCGGGGGATGTCATCCACTGACTAACCTCACTTGTGCACATTGCCCTCCTGCCCCCCGGCCTCCTTTTCTCTGTCGGGGGCCTTTAGGAACTCCTCCTGCTGTGGCCAGCCAGGCTTTCCTGAAGGCCTCTGCAGCCTATAGGATCGATCCAGAGCTTTGTGATCAGCTCCTCAGGCCTTCAGGAAAGCCTTGCTGGCCTTGCTGGCTGCAGAAGAAATGGGCCGGCCAGGCTACAAGTGTCCAAAGGCAAATAGTAGGACAGCTACAATCATCCCCACCCTCGCTTAATTTTTACCTGTCTACTCCGGAGCGAATTGGATCTTAATTAGGGCTTATTTTGGGGGTAGGGCTTATATTAGGCGCACATGTAAAAATCAAGCTAGGACTTACTTTCAGGGTAGGTGGTATTTTCGGGGAAACAGTAATATGATCTGCCTAATGACCGGCTGGGTGGGTGTGACTAACTCGATGTCACTCATGTTAAGGGTGCCTCACTGTCCTCTACTGGCCCCTCCCAGTCTCTCCTCCCCTGCCAGTCTGGGCTCCTTAGGGCCCCAACACGAAGCAGCTGTAGGAGCTAAGCAGCCCTCATGAGAAAGAGTTGGCCAAACTGCTGGCTCAGTTCAAATTGGATCTGACTGAGAAGGAGGCTTAGCGGAAGCACCTCACTGAGGACTACAAGCCTTGGCTTTCCAAGCAGACATGCAGGAGTGCAAGGCTAGCTATTGGTGCCTGGAGGTTCTTCAGTGGGATGAGATGGTCAGCTGGTTCCAGGCCATGTTGCCGTCCCACTGGAACAAGGCGGTCCAACTCTTTGCCACCAGTGGCGCTTCTCTCCAGCCTTTGCCCAAAGCCCTTCCCCAGGGGGCTGAAGCAGACTCCCAAGTCAGAAGGGGAGGGGGAGGAGGAGAATGACTGTGGGGTCCTCGGTGCTCTCTGAGCTTGGTGGTGGTTTTGCAGACATTTCATGACCCAGCTAGGGAACATCTTCAATGCTAGAAAGGTCTTATTTTCGGCGAAACACAGTAGTACGAATGGTTCCTGTAGTCTCCAATTTCTTTTTCTCCATTCTTCCTCTCTCACCATTCCAAGGGTCTTCATCCCAATTTGGACAGCTAAAAAGTCTGTACAGATTTTCTGTCACCCAAGTCACAGTTGTCCCAAAGGTGCTTTTTTTTTTTCCTTTGAGGACATTTCACTGTCTCATCTGGTCAGAACTGAAGACACTTCTAGTGTCAGAGTTCCCGCAGTTACCCTAATTAATTCATGAACCTCGAGCCAAGCTTCAAAAGAATTCAAAAGATTTATTAGGAGCAGCATGCCGGCAGTCACCTAAATGAAGTCACCTGTGACCCTGTTTTCCCCCCCCCCCCCCCCCCCCCGGGTGTGTCATAAATCAGATTCTCCAATGAATGGCTGGGTGTCATCAATCACGTTCGCCAATGAAGGATTTTCGTGGGCAGAAGATCTGGTAGCTTAGGCTATAATCTTTGTAAGATAAGCGTGGAATGTACTTCTGGTTTTAAATTGCCGTATTGCTCCTTCAAATCCCCCACCCCCTCCTCCCCCACCCCCGCTTATGGCAACTCGAAAACAGGCATAGAAATGTTTTACTACTTTGACATCTTGGATGAGAAGCGAAATGTCCTTGAAGACAAAAATATAAGACCGTCTAGCGGCCTTCTCAGAAAAGGACCTTTGGGGACAGAAAGCAGGTTGGTTCTTTCAACACAGTGGGGTTTTTCCCAAGAGTTATGTCGGATAAGGGGGCACGAAAGCAGGCTTCCTCCATCTTGGCAAGACACACGGAGCTCAATTCCCAGTTTCAAAAGTGTTAAAAAAACACCCCAGTGGGGTATAATCCAGAACCTGCTTTATTAAACACGCTTGGATATTGTGCAGGCTGTTAGTTGAACAAACAATCAAAGAGAAGATTTGTAGCTCAGGGTTGAACTGTGTGGTCCTTGCTGCTTGCTCTCTTTGCAGACGTTTCAGGACCCAAAGGGGTAACATCCTCAGCGAGAGAAGGGAATGGGGTTTGCAGAATGGAGGAGGAGGAGGAAGACTGGGGTGGGGGTTTCCTCGGTGGTTCCTGAGCGGCGTAGCTTTCTTGCAGATGTTTCCACTAGGGAACAGCATCAGTGCTAGAAGGGAATAGAGGAGAAAGAGGAGGAGGAAGAAAAGGTGGAAGTTGAGAAAAAGAGAGGGGAGAAGAATAAGGAAGACTGCAGGGTCTTTGGGGCCCTCAGAGTTTTCTTGCAGATGATTCATGACCCAACTAGGGAACTATCAACTTGTAAAGCATTCTTGGCTTGCTCTCAAGTTGCCATAAGAAGGCGGGGTGGGTGGGTGGTGAGAACTAATGGAGCAATTAGGTTGCTATGACCAGAAGCCCATTCCACGCATCCCTTTCTCCAGATTGTATCCTGGGTCACCAGAGCCAGCTGGAGGGGCATGTTTTCTACGGCCCAGGGGAAGTGCTTCGGTTGGAGAATGTGATTTATGACACACCCTGGGAGGAGGAGGGAAACAGGGTCATAGGCGGGCAATAAATTATGTAGGCCAGAGCCAACTCCACATGGGAAAAGGGCTGACATGTTGCTCCTAATAAATAACTGGGTTTCTTTTGAAACTTGGCTCGAGGCTCGTGAATTAGTTAGGGCATCCCTGACAAGAACATCATCAGCGCTAGAAGTGAAGGGGTTTGGGGGGGGTGGATTGGGGGGTCCTTGATGCTCTTGTTTTCTTGCAGACGTTTCATGACCAAACTAGGTAACACCCATCAGTGTTAGAAGGGAGAGGGGTTTGAGAAAGGGGGAAGGAAGGGGGAGGAGGAAGAGGAAGAGGAGGATGACTTTTTGGTCTTTGATGCTCTCTGAGCTGGATGGATTTCTGGTAGGCAGATAAGTAGGTAGGTGGATATTCAGATAATATAGATAGATTTATAGATAGAGACAGAAATATAAATATTTAGATAATATATAGATTGATATAGATATATAGATCTTTACATAATAGAGTAGATATAAGACATAGAGAGATATAGAATAGATATGTAATATAAATGTAGCGATATGGATATAGATTTATAGATATATGGATGTAGATATTTAGATAATATATAGATATATAGAATATATACATAGGTATAAATAGATTTATGGATGTAGATATCCCATTTGAAAGCCATGATAACCAACACCCTCCACTGCTGATTTGCCATTTTCCAGCTTGGGCAATGGTCAATGGCGGCTCCAACGTTCAACCCCGCTCTTCCTACAACGAACGGACGCCGACCATCATCGTCTCGCGATCCCACGAAGGGCAAGTCAAGCAGATGGCATGGCAGAGCTTTGGCAACCAAACCGCCATCATTAAAGCTGGCGGAGCCGGTGAGTGAATTCGGGGTTGTTGTTGTCATGTTTGCACAGGTGGAAAATTTGTGAGACATTCAGGAAAACTCCCAATCTCTCTCTCTTGAAATTTTGGCCTAGTAAGGAATACGGATAGTTCTTTGACTTAATAACGGTTTGGGTAGTGACTGTTGAAAGTTAATGATGGGCCTGGGAAAAAAGTGACTTTTTGACTGTTGTTCAGGCTGGCGAGCATTGAAGCCTCCCTCCACGGTCACATGATCAAATTTGGAGGCTTGGCAACTGACTCATATTTATGACGGTCACAGCATCCCAGGATTCACGTGATCCCCTCTTGTGATCTTCCGACAAGCAAGGAAACCAGATTAATTTAACAACTGTGTGACATAGGGAACAACGGCAGTGATTGAGACTCTACAAAAAGTGCAGAGAAGAGCAACCAGGATGATGAGGGAACTGGAGACTAAAACATTTGAAGAACGGTTGCAGGAACTGGGCCTGGCTAGTCTAGGGAAGAGAAGGACCAGGGGAGACAGGAGAGCAGCCTTCCAATATTTGAGGGGTTGCCACAGGGAGGAGGAAGAAGGGGGTGTCAAGATATTTTCCAAAGCACCCAAAGGCCAGTCAAGGAGAGATTCAACCTGGAAATAAGGAGAAACTTTCTGACAGTGAGAACAATCAACCCAGGGAACAGAAGTTGCCCTCAGAAGTTGTGGGAGCTTCATCACTGGAGGCTTCCAAGAAGAGATTGGACTCCATCTGTTAGAAATGGTGTAAGGTCTCCTGCTTGGGCAGGGGGTTGGACTAGATGACCTTCCAACTCTGATTATCTGTTATCTGATTCACTTACCAGCTGGCGCCCAAAAGGCTGTCAAGGGGAGCAAAACTCACTCAGCCAAGGTCTCCTTAGCAGCGGAAATTTTGGGCTTACTTGAGGTTGTAAAATGAGGACTGTCTGAAATACCTCGTATTTCCCTGAAAATAAGACTGGGTCTTATATTTTTTTTGCTACAAAAGATGCATTTTGGGGAAATATGGTACTAAATGCACCTGTCTGGCTGACAATCTTAATTGGGGCTTATTTTCAGGGTAGGGTTAGGGTTTATATCATGACCATCCTTTTATATCAGGGTTTATATCAGGGTAGGGCTTATATCATGACCATCCTGAAAAGTGCTAGGGCTTATTTTCCATTTGGGTCTTGTTTTTGGTGAACAAGGTAGCTCCTGAGAGAGATGAATTAAGTCCGTCACACCTTCAGCTCGCCACTCAGGAGTGCCTGGATACCCCAGGTTACAGGAAGTCCTGAGCTTACAACCGTTTGGTTTAGTGACACTCAAATGTTACGATGGCCCTGGGGAAAAATAGTGACTTGGGACCCTTTTTCACCCTTAACGATCATCGCAGCATCCCTGAGGTCACCTGACTAAGATTCAGATGGATAAACAAAGTCAAGGGGGAAGCCCAGGTTCGCTTAACAACCGGGTTACTCACTGAACGACTGCAGGGACATTCCTTTAACAACTCTGCCCAGAAAGGATCTAAACTGGGGCAGAATTCCCTTAAGAAATGTCTCACTTAGCAATCTAAATTTAGGGCTCAAATGGTGGCCGTAAGTCGAGCATTAACCAGCGCCGACTTAACTGGGTGAGTCACTTAACAACCGTGGCTAGAAAGGTCGTAAAACGGGACGAAACTCCCTTAACAAATGTCTTGCTTAAGAACAGACATTTGAAACTCCATTGTGGTTGTAATGGGCCCCCAATGGACCCCAAAATTTAGGTTGCTAAGCCAGACATGTCTGAAGTGACTTTTGCTCCGTCTCATGACCTTTATGGCAAATGTTTTTCAGTGAATCGCTTGCAGTTGTTAAGTTAGCTGCATGGACATTAAGCAAATCTGGCTTTTCCCCATTGACTTTGTCTGGCCGAAGATCACTAAATGGGGTTGTGTGACCCCCCCTCCCCCCCAGAATGCTGCCACCATTGTAAATATGAGTCAGTTGCCAAGGGGTCAGAGTGTAAGTTGTGTGACCCTAGGGATGCCGTGATGGTCATAAGTGTGAGAAATGGTCATAAATGTGAGAAATGGTCATAAGTCCCTTTTTTCAGCAACACAGTCCCCTTGAGCTGTCATTAAGTGAACTTTTCTAATGGGAGAACTAGCTGTCTATTGCTAACACTCCAAAATAGGACTTTCCTTCCAATTTTTTAATCTCTCTCTTTTTACAATTTTTCTTTCTTTTCCGCCCAGGGTATAAAGTCTTATCTCTCCTCAACGTGCCCGACGTGAACCAGGAGAAAGCGGACGTCTACATCCATGTCACCTTCATCAAGAAATGGGACATTTGCGCCGGCAACGCCATGCTGAAGGCCCTGGGCGGACGCATGACCACCTTAGCCGGGGAGGACATCACTTACACGGGCTCTGACGGTAACGAAGACGGCCTGATCGCCAGCATCAGAATGAACCACCAAGCCCTGGTTGAAAAACTCCCCGTCCTCGCCAAAACCTCCCGAAATTGAAACACTGGGGAAGCCCGTGCGAGTTGTTTAAAATGGGGAGAATGAAAAAAAAAAAAAGGCCCCGTGCAAGCTACTTCAAAAGAATCCGGTGGAAAAGAGGAGGATGGAAAGGGAGAGGGCTTGTTTGAGGACCGGAATCTCGCCACGGCAGCGTTTGGAGAAGACAATTGGAGCGCGGGAGGGATGGGCTTCGGAGTCAAGCTTCTTTCCTTTTCAATTTTGAGATGGTTCTCGAAAAATCGGGAGCGGCTCCTTTTGTCGGAAATGAAATCTGTGAATTTCTTCGTCACGTCGGGAAAGACCCACATCCGACCGATCGATATTCTCTTTTTGGGGGTGGGGGGGAGGGAGGAAGGGGGGATATGATTCGATTTCCTCCCAATGGATGGTCCTAACTAAAACGATGATCGGAAGAAACCTGATTTTTATGTTTACTTGAAAATGCAAACCAGCGGTGTGCGGAGGAAGGTTTCTCTCTCTCTCTCTCCCCCTCTCTCCCTCCCCCACTCTCTGGATTTTAATTATTTTTATGATGAGAACAATGCTTTCTTTCCCCCGCGTGTTCCGAAGAACGTGGGTGTTGCCCCTGTGCTGTTCCGACTACTGAATATTATTGCCGCGATAAACCCTTGTGAGGCCCAGAAATGCTTTTTTTTTTCATGAGCGTCTGATGTATCTCACGCCTTTGATCGTTCATTCAGCTCTTTAAGCAAAGGATGCTCTGTGTGCGTGTGTGTGTGCGCGTGTGCGTAATCAATCATTTCATATTTTTATATATAATTTCAAATTATATATAACCAAATGATCATACATATATGCGTGTGCACACACATGCTACATTACACACACACACACACACACACACACACACACACACAGAGTGTTTTCCCAAAAAGAAGACCCTGTCTATATTTTCTTTTTCCACCCAAAAAGGCAACAGGTCTTATTTTCAGGGGATGTTATCCATTGACTAACCTCACTTGTGCGTGTCGCCCCTGGCCTCCTTCCAGAATTCATTCACCTGCAGCTGGCAAGGCTTTCCTGAAGGCTTCTGGAGCGGATAGGATCGATCCGGAGCTTTGGTATCCGCCCCAGAGGCCTTCAGGAAAGCTTTGCCAGCCTTACTGGCTGCAGAAGAAATGGGCTGGCCAGGCAGGTGTAGGGGTGTGCGAGGCCTGGCTACACCTGTCCAAAGGTAAGGAGTAGGGCAGCTCCACCTCCCGTCTCATTCCCATCCTAGCTTAATTTTTACCCATCCATTCTGGAGTGGGCAGGATCTTAATTAGGGCTTATTTTGGTGGGATGGGGCTTATATTGGGTGTGCGTGTAAAAGTCAAGTTAAGACTTTCAGAATAGGTTTTATTTTTGGGGAAACCGTGTGTGTGTGTGTGTGTGTGTGTGTATACACACTAGCTCAATGCCCGTGCCTCTGCCTACCAGCATCCATTGGTATTTATCTGACTATCGTCTGTCAGTGTATGAGAGAGTTGAGGGCTGTTTGGAAACTGAAACACTATTTGCTGTGTTAGTAAGAAACAGCAAGGAGCCTGGGCGTGGCTTAGCTCAACTGTTCTGTACTATGAAACTTCCGCTTGTGTTTTGCATTTGGAAGAGATTTCAGGTGGGGAGGGGGAGTTGAACTCCTTAGCACATCAGAGCATGTTAATAACAATAACAGCAACAATAACAAAACAACAACAACAATAATAATGGCAAGCCTAATGCTCTGATGGTCATTTTGAAAAACCTTTTCTTAGTACCTAGAAGCCAAAAATAATATACGTGCAAGTTTGTAGGCTTTATTGTTCAGGAGATTTTGGGATGATGCGTGAGGGCATTTCACTTTTACACGCACGCGCGCACACACACACACGCACACACACACACACAAAGAACTATGGCCTGACAGGTCATAAAATGAGGCACAACTTATTCAAAGAATATCTCGCTTATCTATGGATATTTTGGGGCTCCTTTCAGTTTGTAAGTTGAGGACCTCCTGTATTCTTGATTGCTGATTGGCCAAGTGTGATTGGATACACAAGAAATTTATTTGCCATGGGCAAATAGGCGGCAATATAAATTGGATAAATGAAATAACAAATAAACCGGTTACCAGAGTTTGAAACACTTTAAAACGTACCAATTAAAACAATACCGATTAAAACTTTATTGCTCAGTTTTTAAAAGTTTGATTTTTTTTCAAGAAAAAAATGGAAAGAATTTCAAAATAGAAATGTTCAATTGTTTCCCCGCCCAAAAAATCCAAGTTCAAAATTTCAGAAGGTTCAAAATGAAGGCCCCCCCCCCCCATATCTCCCAGAGACCCTCCTATGCTGATGGGCCTGGCCAGGATGCTCGACTTGCAATGATTCATTTAGCAACCGTACCATGGACCGTAGTTCACACTTAACGACTGTCGGACTATCCCTGCCCTGTGGTCACATTACCCAATCTAGACGCTTTGGCAACTAGTTTGTATTTATGACGGTCACAAGTATTTTTTGTGACCTGGATCAGCTGAGTCTGGGAAAGCCAGATTTGCTTAATGACTGTGTTATAGGTAGTCCTCGATATAGCGGCAGCCTGCTTATGACCATTCCAAATTGTAAGGGACACGGGAAAGTGACTTAAGACCATTCACACTTAACGACCATGAGATCAAAATTCAGACAGTTGGCCAAGTGACTCGTATTTACAATGGTCCCAGATCCCTTTTGGGATCTTCTGATGAGTAAAGTCAATGAGTGCGCCAGATTCACTTAACGACCATTTGATTAGCAACAGCAGTGATTCCCTTAATGGTGGTTGTAAAATGGGGCAAACTCCCCTAAAGGATCAGAAATTGGGTGCTCCCTTGCAATCAGAAGTCGAGGACTATCTGTCTCTGTGTTTGCTTATATGAATAATAACTCAAAACAATATAGATTCCTTTAATTTAAATTGTACCGGGAAGAGCAGCGTGCGCGCGCTCCTCTAATTTTGCCTATCTATAATCTCGGGGTAGGGCGTGGCCTTGCATCTCACGTTGCCTGCCGCAAAGGGCCTTCCCTATCTCCTCCCTCTAATCTCGTTCCCAGGATGAGCCCATCTCACTGGCTTATCTCTATATCATCGGTGGGTGTATCCCCGCCTCTCCCATTGGCTCCCCTCCACGGGCCTTCCCTAGCTCCGCCCTCTAAACTGATTCACAAGAGGAACCCCTCTCATTTGTCTATCTCTATAGACAACGGGGAGGCGTAGCTCCCCTTCTTCCCATTGGCTCCCCGCAACGGGACCTCCCCCTTCCTTAGCTTCTCCTTCTGGTTTTGTAAATAGGAGGCGTTCTTCTCAGTTTGCCTATCCCTATAGCCTATTGGCTGGCCAGAACACTTCTTCCTCTTTGTCCTCCTCCCCCCCCCCATGGTCCTTCCTGGAGTTCCGTGCAAACAGGAAGAGCCTCTCTCTCTTGCTCGCTCGCTCGCTCTCTCGCCTCGAGGCCTTCCCGCTGATTGGTCGGAGTCCTCGCCGAGCGTGGGAAGCGGGCCGTTTTCCCATTGGCGGGCGCCCCTTTTGGCGGGAGGAGGACGTGCTCGGTTGGTGGGCGGGGCCCGGCGAGAGGCGGTAAGGAAGGGGTTGCCCGGGGGGTCTTCGTCTCATTCAAGTTTGGTTTGCTCGACGGTGGCCGGAGAGGGACGTTTACCTCATGGAGCCCGCCGCCAGCCGCCATCACTCGCACCGCCGCCGTTTGCTCCTCGGGGAGGCCGAGAGTCCCCTCACCCGCCGGAAAAGCCTCGACACTGCTGGGTAAGCCGACTGAGGGGAGCCCGGCACGATTCTGAGCCCGAGGAGATCGTTGGAAGCCTTGAACCGTCTTCCATTGTGTGTGTATGTTGCGGGGAAGGTGTTCGCGTTCCCTCATCCCCAACCGCCGGCGGGACTGGGATATGTAGTCCTGCGAGGAACCTAAGCCTACATTTCCCCCCCACCCCACCCGCGTCAACTCGCTCTACCTTGCCCGTCACGGAATGGCGAAGGAACGTCCTCGAGGGCATCTAGTCGAGCCCCACTCTGGGCTGTTACGGAGGAAAGAAGACGAAGGGAACGGCATTTCGATTGATACGTTTGTTTGTGTATATGCATAATATATCTGAGGTGCATGTATATGTTTGACGTGTGTGTGTATATATAAATATGTGTGTGTATAAATGTGTGCAGGTTGTGTAAATGGATGGAGGTGTATATGAATGTGTGTGTAGGTTGTATGTATGTGTGTAGGTAATGTGTATATTTGTGTGCATGAATGCATGTATATGTGTGGTTCTGTATATAAATGTGTGTGTATCTGTTGGTTGTGTATATGTGTGCATGAGTATATATGAGTGTGTATGTAGATTGTGTGTGTAGATGTACATTTGTGTTGAATGTGTGTAGATTGTGGATGTGTATATAAATGTGTGTTTATATCTGTTGCTTGTGTATGTGTGAATGTCTGTAGGTCGAAGATATGTGTATATGCAGATTGTGTATCTGCATGTCTATATAAGTGTGTATATATGAGCATGTTTGTATAGATTGTGGATGTGTGTGTGTATATGTATATTTGTGTTGATGAATGTAGATTGTGGGTATGTGTATATAAATGTATACGTATGTGTTGGTTGTGGATATGTATGAATGTGTGCAGGTTGGGGATGTGTGGATATGTGCAGATTATGTATCCTGGATGTCTATATATATGAGCATTGTACATAATGTGTGTGTGTGTATTTGTATGGATGAATGTGTGGATAAATGTCTGCATAGGTTGTGGATGTGTGTATATTTGAATGTGTAGATTGTGGAAATGTGTGTATGTGTACATATGAGTGTATATGCATATATGTGTGTGTGTGTGTGCGTGTGTCTGAGTATATACATAATTTGTGTGTATGTATATGCAGGTGTGGGTTTATATATGTGTGTATGCACACATATATACGTGTGTGTGTATAAAAACGTTAACAAAACCCTTCTTGCCCGGTGGTTCGACCTTCTCTGCGCACAAACATGGTTGTAGCTTTTTCTGTAGGAGCATCTCCCCACCCCCAGCTTTATTTAATTCTTCTTTAATTGAATTTATTTCATTCTGATTTACTTTATTTATTACAAGGCAAAAGCTCACAGCCCCTCCTTTGCATCTTTTGCAGCTCAACCGAATCCTGTGTGCAGAGGTTGAAAGCCAAGAACGCCCCTATGAAGAGGACGTCGTCTTCAGATTCTACGGATTCAGGTTTGCGAGAGAGTTTGCCAGCCTCTGGCTGTGGATGATGGTGCTTGAAATCCCTGAGCTTCATCTTATCCCGACTGGATAGATTCTCCTGAAATGCTCCCTGGACCTTTCTGCCAACAATTGGAGCCAAGGAGCCATTTGCATTTAGGAGTTTTAACTGGTCTGACACTAGAATTATTATTTTTTGTATAAAGTTTTTATTTTTATTTTTGACCATAGATCAATATAATTTCATGGGCAGTGTGGTGTCTGAGTGTCTTTCATTTTGATGCAAAAGCAATATTGATACGATAAGCATTACTAGATTAATCCGACTTACATGGTTTAATGTTATACATAACTATCAGCGCATAATCCTTCATTTTTCAATTATTCAATATTTGCTACATTCTTCTAATAGTAATAGCATTATTTTTGAGCATACCTAATAACATCCTGTTTCAAACTCTGCTCTTAACCTCTAATATTCACTTTAAACGTGTTAAAATAAAAATATATATAACAATATTCCCCCTATTTCTAAACTTTTTATCTATTCTAATTTTTAATATGGCCAATCTCGTTTTTGTTTTTAAGAAAAAATCATTTCTATTCATTAGAATTATGAATGGAGCTCAAACCTCATCATCAAATTTGATCTTAGAATAGAACAGAATTCTTTATTGGGCAAGTGTGATTGGACCCACAAGGAATTTGTCTTTGTTGCATATGCTCTGAATGTACATAAAAAGAAAAAGTACGTTCATCAAGAAGCATGTTGTGTTCCTCAGCTAAAATGTAATGAGGAAAGTTATCTTCTTTCCTAGCACCATATACTCAAATTGTAGCCTTTTAAGTTTAAAAGAAAATGGGGGGGGGGGGCTTTCTGATTTTTCTCTGTTCCTGACACAGCACTAATCTGGCATACTTACCAGCTCTGTGAATTGATTCTGCTTTCCTCCAACAGTTGTAATATGCAAGAAACATATCAAGAATGTGGTTAATTTATTCTGCATAAACAATTTATTGTGCATTTATCCTAATAAATAAAATAAATTGATTTATTCTTTTCTCTATTTGCAACAGGCAACCAACATACTTTTATTGATCTATTTTATTTTTTAAATCCCCTGCAAAGGCTGCTGCATGGATTCCCCTGGCCTGCTTGGCATGACCGACCTTGAAGAAAGGTAGGCGATAACGATGCTAATGTGGCAAAGTATTAGTTTCAAAGGACCTGGGAGGTCAGCAGGAAAGAGGCAGGCTGAAGAGCCCTTTGTTAAGCAGGAAATCTGCTTACAGTTCAAAGCTGGGAGGCTTAAGTAGCTGAGGGCGGAGGGCCAATTCCTCAGAGCTGTTCTTCAGAGTTTCTTTTTAAAAGGGGAATTTTCTGTTACTGATATTCCCGCCCCCGCCCAGGTCCTGCTAGGCTTTCCTCCTGCTCTTTTCCCACAATAAAGGGTGTGGGGGGTGGGTGAGAATTAACAGAATGACAGAGTTGGAAGGGACCTTGGAGGTCATCTATCCCAACTCTCTGCTCAGGCAAGAAACAGAAAAGCCAATGGAGACACCTCCGGACAGCACTGGCTCTTCAGCTTTATAACAAAGATGAGCACCAGCCCCCTAGAGCCGGAGGGGGGGATTTTTTTACCGTAAGAGAGATGTCGATGGATAGATAATTACTTGATAGAAATGGATGGAGGGATTAGATTGAAGGCTTTACAAAAAGTGAACTGGAACAAGAAGTGCTTTGCCTGTGTATCAGGACAAATAACCGTGGGTCAGGTGAAGGTGTAATGATGTCCCCCTGTCTGGTTTGGGAGAGCTTAGCATTTTTTGGCTGACTGGATTAAGGTAAAGGATTAAGGTAAAGGTTTCCCACATACCTGCTAGGCTTTTCCGGCTCTAGGATGGGATTGGATTAGTGCGGTGAAAAATTAAGAATTGTTAACACACACACACACCCTTTCTAAAAACTTTTGATGTTGGCAATGGGGCTTTTATTTCAAGGTCATGCCCTTTCTCCTTTTGCAGCTTTCGCCTGCCCATGAGAAGGATGTACTCCCTCCCGGTAAGTTTGGCTGAGGAACCACGGGTCTCTTGTGTTGGTGCTACTTCTCCCTTTTCTAAATGTGGGGTTCCCCCCCCCCCCCCAAAATATATGTTTTATTATTTACATATTAATATATTGAATACCATGTAATTGGCCATGGCATTCCAATTGTCATAAAACAAGTAAAAAGCCACAGTTACATATATGCAAATGTTCTCATACATAATTTTCATACAAAAATTTCTGACCGTCATACAACATGTCAACTCCTCTTATCGTTCCAATACTTGCATTCCCCTGTCAATAATACAAACGGTGTCTCTTTCCAGGACCCCCTCGGTTCATTCTTTTACCTTCCAACTTCTCCCTCCTGTTTCTAACCATTGATAAAACCTATTCCATGTGAAATTGTATTCTGTATCTGCTTTATCTATTATTTTTACGTGCTAAATGTAGTTTTGAATTAACTCCAGACTTGGCTGGGATTACAGGTCTTGGAAATAAAAGCTTAGAAAAATCCCTTTATCTGCCTCTCAGCAGGTCTAGAATGCTTAAAATTTGAGCACCAAAGTGGTTGGTTTTTTGTTTTTGTTTTTGCATAGTGGGGGAGGGGGCAGGGAGGGTTCCTGAAACGTGGTAAGTTGGTTGACAATAACAAAAGTTGGAAGGGACCTTGGAGGTCATCTAGTCCACCCCCCTGCTCAGGCAGGAGGCCCTCCTCCTCGTCCTCATAAACAGAAATGAAAGGGACCTTGGAGGTCATCTAGTTTAACCCCTGCTCAGGCAGGAGACCCTTCTCTGAATAACAGATGAAAGGGAGCTTGGAGGTCATCTAGTCCAACCCCCTGCTCATGCAGGAGACCTTCCTCGTCCTCATCCTCATAACAAATGAAAGGGACCTTGGAGGTCACTTAGTCTCCCTGCTCAGGCAGGAGAGCATTCTCCCCTCTCCTCCTCTTCCTAATAACAGAGATGAAAGGGACTTTGGAGGTCATTTAGTCCCACCCCTTTGCTCAGGCAGGAGAGCCCGCCCTATTTCAGATATGCAATCTACTGTTTTAATTTCAAACATTTAGTATCTGATCGGTCTGAAATCCCACCTCTGTCGCTTCAAGTCAGGGTTACCCACGTCCTTCTATGAATCTCCGCATTGCCTCATCACACACAATGCATTCAATTTAATTTTTATTTTCTCATTTGTGTGTATGTGTTTAAAAACTAAGCTTCCCCTGCGTGACTGGGATTGCTTTTCTCCATCTTTTTAAAAAAATATTATTGTTATTCATCGCACAGTCAGCCAGATGTTCAGACTGGGGTTTGGCATTTTTCTCTCCCTATCAAGTCCTTCCCAAGGACCTGAGATAGGTAGGTCTGGATGTTTGATGGTGTTACAGATATTGTCGCAGGATGGAAGCTGTTCCGGGTCGAGCTGCCTTCTGCAATTGACCGATGGCAAATTTGTCAATGCCAATGACGATGTCCAAATGGTGCTCCAGTTATTTTGGGACTGCGCCTAAGGCGCCTGTGACTATTGGTAGTACCCTTGCTTGTCTTTGCCATAGTCGTTCTATTTTTATTTTTATTATTATTGTTATAGTTAATCTTTGGTGAGATTCACAGCCTTTGGGACTGGTTGGTAGCTCAACAGCTCAGGTCCTAACCAAGAACCTAGGAACTGTTAAGGTAGCATTGGAGGGTATAAGTTGTTCCAAGTAGGGTGGTTTTTTTTGTAGAATCAAGCCTGATAAATTATTATTAATTATTATTATTGTTGTTGTTAGCACGGCCTTCTGGGTTGCAGCCCCGCACTGAAGAGGAACCACTCGGCCTGCCCGGATTGGGACGTTTTCCAAGCCCTTGCACCCGAGGAAAACAAAGAGAACGTGAGTTGGGTTTTTTCAGCTATTCCTGCAGAGAAAGAGACAGCCATGTATTCAGCATCAGGTGTTCTGATATAAGATTGCCTCCAAAGGTTTTTAATTCAGGGTTTTTTTTTTGTCTTGGTGGGATTTAGCCGAGATCTCTTCTGAAAACCCAACCTGGCTAGTTTTGCTTTGTTCAAATTTGGCATGTTGGACTGTATACCGTGTTTTCCCGAAAATAAGACTCTGTCTTATATATGTTTTGCCAGCACAAAAAGGCACCAGGTTTTATTTTCGGGGGACGTTAACCACTGACTAACCTCACTTGTGTGCTTCACCCCCGGCCTCCTCCTTCGCTATCAGAGGCCTTCAGGAACTACTACTTCTGCGGCCAGCAAGGCTTTCCTGAGGGCCTCTGCAGCCAATAACCGAGCTCCAGATCGATCCAGAGCTTCTCTGTTCTCAGCTGCAGAGGCCTTCAGGAAAGCCTGGCCAGCCTTGCCGGCTGTAGAAGAAATGGGCCGGCCAGGCAGGTGTTGGGGTGTGTGAGGCCTGGCTACACCTGTCCAAAGGTAAGCAGTAGGGCAGCACCTCCCCCATCCCCACCCTAGCTTAATTTTTACCCATCCACTCCGGAGTGGGCGGGATCTTAATTAGGGCTTATTTGGGGGGAGGTAGGGCTTATATTGGGCACATGTGTAAAAAATCAAGCTGGGACTTTAGTTTCAGGGTAGGTTGTATTTTCAAAGAAACAGGGTAGTTCAGAAACATCTTGAGGGTAGAGTTGGAAAGGACTTGGGAGGTCTTGTAGCCCAACCCCCTGCCCAGGCAGGAAACCCTCTACCCTCTACTCAGACCAGTGGTTGTCTACTCTCTTCCTTAAAAAAGACCTCCAATGAGGAAGCACCCACCATTTCTGCAGGCAAGTTGTTCCGCTGGCTAATTGTTCTCACTGTCAGGAAATTTCTCTTTGGTTCCAGGCTGCTTCTCTCCATCATGAGTTTCTGTCCGTTGCTGCTTCTCCTGCCTTCAGGGGCTTTGGAGAATGGCTTGACCCCCCTCTTCTTTGGGGCAGCCCCTTAAATATTGGAAGACTGCTATCCTGTCCCCCCTAAAAGTCCTCCTTTCTATTGAAGTAGACCTACCCAATTCCTGCAACCGCTCTTCGTATGCTTTAGCCTCCAGCCCCCCAATCCTCTTTGTTGCCCTCCTCTGCGCTCTTTCCAGAGTCTCAACCTCTTGGGGGTTTATGGCAAGCAAACTGGATATAATTTTCCAAGTTTGGTCTTACCAAGGTATTATAAAGCGCTCCCAGCACTTCACATGATCTTGAATCTGTCCCTCTGTTAATGCAGCCGAGGATTGTGTTAGCCTTCTTTGGCTGCTGCAACACACAGCGGTTGTTGCCCGGACTCCAAATTCCCTCTCCCGGTTCCTCCTTTTGAGCCAGGTGCCAGCTATCCCATCCCTGCTCATTCGGGGGTTTTTTTTTTCTTGCCCAAATGTTAGGACCTTGTACTTATATATATGTACATATATGCACCCAAACTAGACGGGGTTGTTTCTCTGTGCCATGTGCGTGTATACATAATTTGGTATTGATCTAGTCATGCTTATGTAGTCTAAAATTAGACCGTATGCAGTGAAATATCATTATTAATGTATGCCAGTTACTGTACATTCAAAGGGACAATAAAGCTATTCCATTCCATTCTATATTCTATTCTATTCTATATTTACTATTCCATTTCATTAATATTCTATTCCATTAATATTCTGTTCTATTAATATTCCATTCCATTCCATTAATATTTTTTCTATTAATATTCCATTCTATTGTATTCTAATTCTAATTCTGTATTTACTATTCTATTCCATTCCATTCCATTAATATTCTATTCCGTTAATCTTCTATTCATTCTTTTCTGTTCTATTTTATTTAATTCTAGTTTTAATTCTATATTTACTATTCTATTCCATTAGTATTCTATTCCATTCATGTATTTTTTAAATATTCTATTCTATTAATATTCTATTCTGTTCCATTTACTATCCTATATTTACTATTCCATTCCATTAATATTCTGTTCTATTTATATTCCATTCCATTCCGTATTCCACTTACTATTCCATTCCATTCCATTCCATTAATATTCTATTCCATATTCCATATTCCATTCCTTATTTCCCCCCACCCACCCTTGAATTTCATTTTGCGAGATGGGGCCCAGTGTTCAAATCTGCCAAATGCCGGGCACTCATGAAACCATCTTCTCTCTCCTAACTTGGACTGTTTTATTTTACTTCGCCATCCACACTCCGTGAAGATAAATAGAAGAATTCCTTTGTCTGTGGATCATTTTAAAAAACAAAAACATGTCGTTCCCCCCCCCCCCCTCTTTTTTTTTTTTTCTTACCTCCCAAGGAGCACTTTGAGTTCAAGAAACCAACCCGCCCTGCCTCTCGTGGCTCTTTGCACTTTTCTTCTCCGGACGACGAAAAAGACCCTTTGGAAGCGGAGCAGGACTTGAACACAGCACTTACGGTATTGATTGAGAGAACCTCCGGCGGGCTGTCCCAGAAAGAAAGGGACGGTGGTGGGCAGTGGAGATAGGTAACGAGGGGTTGTTCTCGACTTACAACCATTCGTTTAGTGCCCGTTCAAAGTTACACCGGGAACTGGGGAGGGAAAAGGGGACTTAGGACCCATTTTCCCACTTAATGACCTTTGTAGCAGCCCCACAACCACGGGATGCAAAATGCAACGCTTGGCAGCCGGTTCGTACACATGCACACCTGTACACAATCAGCACACACAATTACACACACACACACACACACACACACTTTCATGCACCCAAATACACACATAGACTTAAACAATCTACATATACGTATACATACATACACACTCATGTATCCACATATCCACATATATAAACACACACACACACACCAGAGGTGGGTCTTCAGCAGGTTCTGACCAGTTCTGGAGAACCGGTAGTGGACATCGTGAGTAGTTTGGAGAAATGGCAAATCCCACCTTCTGACTAGAGTTTTTACAGTATTCTTCCCCTGCCACGCCCACCAAGCCACGCCCACAGAAATGGTAGTAAAAAAAAATTGAATCCCACCACTGACACACACTTATATACAGACACAATCTACACACGCACGTGCACACACCTCCACACTCACACTGCACCTCTGTATGGTTTGCCAATTGCACCGTGCCAGATCGGACAGCCACTCCAGAGGGTGAATGTCGTTGCCCAGAGGATCCTGGGTTGCCCTCTCCCCTCTTTGGAAGAGCTTTATAGCTCCCGCTGCCTTAAGAAAGTTCAAAACATTCTCAAAGATCCATCTCATCCTGGGAACACCCCCCCTTTTTTTTGAACTATTACCATCTGGCAGGCAGTACAGGTTAATAATAAAAACAAGGACAAACAGGCTGAAAAAAAGCTTCTATCCCAGGACAGGAGCTCTTTTGAATTCTACTGTATAGTGCAATATTAATGCAACTTCAGACTTTTCAGTTCAATGTGTGGAGGGTGAAGGATGTGTGTTTGTGTTTATTTTCGTGTTCATGATGTCCACTGAAGATGGTGTTTGATTTCGTTGTACGAGGTGCAAGGACAATAAAAGTAAACTAAATATACACGGGTGGGCTTCAAAAAATTTAACAACCGGTTCTCTGCTGGGTGGGCATGGCCATGGTGGGTGTGGCCTTGTCGGCCTCTTTCACCATGGTGGGGGGGGAGGGGGTTCGCCCTCCCTGGAGCCCAGAGGTTTTCCTTGAGCCTCCGGGAGGACAAAAACGGCCTCCCAGGGCTCTGGAGGCTGGAAATGGGCCTGTTTCCAGCATTCTGGAGCCTCTGGGTGGCCTGTTTTTCACCCTGCACTTCCCTGGGAATGCAAACGGACCCCGTGGGGGCTCCTGGGAGGGGCGGGGCCAGCCAGGGGTGGGATTTGCTGGTTCACTGAACGGGCCCTTAAATTAACTACCGTTTCACCCAAACCGGGGTGAACCAAGTATCAGCCCGTCCCCTGCATACGCACAACCTACACACACAGATAGATAATCAGATACATTTCCACACAACCACAATCGACACACACAAACACACTCATAGATATACAGACATACTTATCAAAAAAAAATGTGAATTATGACGTCCTTCACACTTATGACCGTTGCAGAGTCCCCGTCATCACGGGATCAAAATTCAGACTCTCAGCCACTGACTTGTATTTATGATGGTTGCAGCCTCCCGGGGTCAATAGATCCCCTTTTTGCGACCTTCCTATGAGCAGTGTTCCGATTGACCTTACCATCCAACCACTGCGGTGATTCACTTAACGACGGTGGCAAAGAAGCTTGTAAAACAGGGCAAAAAATTTCACCGAACATCTATCTCACTTGGCAGCATCAATTTGGGGCCCAAGTTTGGTTGTACGTCTGGGACTACCTACTTAAATTTCAATTAAATGTCTCTTTAAAAAATATATATATATCAAAATGTGACTGTTTCTCCATGAAAATATCCTTTGCTTTAGTTCTCCGGTGGTCACAATGGTAAAAACCATCCCAGAGTGGAGATCCCAGCATTCCCATGCCGGCTGTCCCGACAGATCGCTGATACGCATAACGACGACGGCTTTTTAGAGATGATGGATGGGCCTGATAGCACTGTAAGTGTGGTGTTGTAGTTTAGTTCTTGGTAGGGTTTAGTTAGTTTTGGTGCTGGTGTAAGCACAGTGCGGCTAGCGTCTTCCAAAGGACCTTGGAGGTCTTCTTGTCCATCTCCCTGGTCTTTCGTTTTATATTTCTCTCTCTCTGTGTGTGTGTGTGTGTGTGTGTGTACGCACATATATAGAGAAAGAGGGGGATGGACTAGAAGACCTCCAAGGTCCCTTCCATATTCTATTCTATTCCTTATTCTATTCTATATTTTATATTCTATTCATTATAGGAAGCCTTGGTGGCATAGTGGTTAGGGTGCAGTACTGTAGGCTATTTCTGCTGACTGTCAGCTGCCTGCAATTTGGCAGATCGAATCCCACCAGGCTCAAGGTTGACTCAGCCTTCCGTCCTTCCGAGGTGGGTCAAATGAGGACCCAGATTGTTGGGGGCAAAGGGCTGACTCTGTAAAACCGCTTAGAGGGGGCCTGTGAAAGCACCCTGTGAAGCGGTATGTAAGTCTAAGTGCTATTGATATCTTCCTTCCTTCCTTCCTTCCTTCCTTCCTTCCATCCATTCTATTCTATTCTATTCTATTCTATTCTATTCTATTCTATTCTATTCTATTCTATTCTATTCTATTCTTTACCTGGAATTCCAGAGGAACATTCTGGAGTCTTAAAAAAAACTTTGTCGTAGTTGTTGGATTCCCTTAACGAAGGTGGCAAGAAACATGATGAAATGGGTCATACTTGAGAACCGTCTCCCTTAGCAACCTCAATTTTGGGCTCCATGGTCGTCGTAAACCAAGGACTACCTATATAGAGCTGCAATCCCGAAGCCATTTCTGGGATTCTTTTTTTTTCTTTTGAGCCAACCTGCAATTCTTCGCCATTCCCCATCAAGAAAAAGAACAACCCGGGAGCTTCATAATATACATTTTCATCATTCCTGGTGTTTTGTCCCCCCCCCCCCCCCACCCCACCCCCCGCTTCTGTCTCCAGAACGACGCCGAGACGCCGTCTGACATGTCGTGCCTTTGGACCGCTCCTCTGGTGGTCACGACGAGCGAGGACCTGCTGGTAACTTCCGAGTTTTGCAGCTTGAGGGTTGGATTTGGAAGCTCGCTTTAAAGCAAACACCCCCCCTTTTTTTTTTTCTCTCTCCCTCCCTTCAGATTTCAGGGTATTTCTCTTAAGGCTCTGCTCATTGAGCAGGGGGTTGGAGTGGATGTCCTCCAGGGTCCCTTACGATGGTGTCGTTCTTGCGGGGTCTCCTGCTGTGGAGCAGGGGGTTGGAGTAGATGACCTCCAAGGTCCATTCCAACTCTGTGATTCTATGATTCTGTCGGGGGGGGGGTGTCTCCCGCTCGAGGTGGGGTTGGACTCCCAGGGGGGCTCTAATGCCAAGAGAAGAGACATTACTACTCCAATCAAGAGCAGAATTTTGAAGGGGGACAAACACCCCCCCCCAAGTTTCCTGTGGGGTGCAGCATGCGAGGTGTCCTTGCCCTGTTGTGTCCCTTTGCAGGGTTCAAGCTTTGTCAGCCCCTCTTTTCTCTGGGTCTCCCCCTTTTTCTGTATGCTTGTGTTGATATCCACCATCAAATCTCCCCCCTTTTTGTGTGTATGTGTGTTGATTTTATTTATTTATTTGATTTGTATTACCGCCTATTCGCCATGGTGACTCGGGGCAGGCTTACAACATAGGAAACCACAGTTTAAAACAGTGAAACTCCTAAAATCAAATAAATCAATATAGTAAAATCAGCGGCAGCAGACCACAGGAGCCATTGGATGGGCTCCATCCCCCTCTGGGTTCCCCATGCCTGCTGACAGAACCAGATGTTCAGGGCCTTCCGGAAGAGAATCGGGGCCGGGGGGGGGGCTGTCCTAATTTCTGCGGGGAATGAGGTTCCAGAGACAGGGAACCCCCACGGAGAAGGCCCTCCTTTGGGGTCCCACCAGGAGGTGTATCTCCCTTGGGGAAGGGGCTCGCAACGTTCCGTGCCTCCCCGCTCTGGTGGGTTGGGTAGATGTGACCGGCAAGAGACGGTTATCCCTCAGCCACGAAGGGCTCTGAAGGGGACAACCAGCACACCTTGGATTGCACCCGGAAGCAAATCAGCAGCCAATGCGGTTCCTGCAGGAGAGGTGACGCGTGTGCACACCGGTGTTGATATCCACCATCAGATCTCCCACTTAGTGTGTCTGTGTGTGTGTGCGTTTACGTATCCACAATCAGATCTCCTCTTTTTGTGATGCATTGATATCCACCATTAAATCTCCCCTTTGGCTTTTTTGTTCTGTCTCTCTCTGTGTCTGTGTGTGTGTGTCTTTGTGTGTGTGTGTTGATATCCACAACTGAGGGTGGAGGGTTTGCCAAAGGTGGCCTTTCCTCTTCTCCCCCTCTTGAATTTTGGGCTGCTGCCTTGCCAGAGGCCTCTTTACCGAGGGCCCCCGTCTTGGATAGCATCCATCCTCCCTCCCAGGGCATCAATAAGCCAGCAGCATCCCTTCTGCACACTTGTCAAGAACTACCTCCCTTCGTCCACTCCCCCCCTGCCCCGCTTTGCCTTGCACCCAGAGCCAGCAGCATAAACTGAGCAACGCAACTCGCAACCTGGCTAAGACGCGTGCCGCTCCGGTGAAAAGAATGGAGAAGCCCGTCCTCGAAGGGGGCGTCCAGGCTGTTGGCAAACGGCGGAGAAGCAGCCCCTTGGGAGTTGCTGAAGAAGCCATGGTTGGTAGCCGATGATGGATGGATGGATGGATGGACAGCCGCTCTGGTGAAGCTGCCCCTTTCGTTGTATCTCCGAAGCCTTTGTAGGAACGTCTGTTTTTTTGGAGGGGGCAAAGAGAGCCGCAAATATGACTGAGGGGGCTTGGGTTGGGTTAAAAGATACGAAAGACACTTGCAGGAATTGGGAGGATCCAGTTTCTCAAAGGGATGGACTGAGGGGGGCATGATAGTCCAAGGTCCCTTTCAAATCTGTATTTTTTGCCAGGGTCTTGTAGGTCCTTAGGTAGGCAGGCAGGAAGATAGATAGGAAGATAGACACAGACAGGTAGATATTTAGATAGACATATTTAGATAGATGTCTAGAAAGGTAGACAGGCAGATAATATAAATACTGGATGGGTGGATGAATGATAGATATTTAGATAGATATTTAGATAGATTACATAGATTTAGGTAGGTAGGTAGGTAGGAAGAGGAAGGTAGGTAGATAGGAGGATTATTATTAACATGAAACTCAGTCAACTGAACATTTAAAAATGTACCGCAAATATTATTGACTGGCACTGATGGTTGATACGGGATGATGCCAGCAGCCTAGGTATCAACCAAGTTATTTTTTATTACTTATTACTACTTAGTCTTTATTCTTTATTTATTATTTAGTTTATTATTTATTTTTATTTATCTTAATTATTATTCTTATTTTTCCTTCTATGTCAGAGTCCCTCCTGCTCTTCCTCTTTGGAGATTGGCAACGTGTTGGATCGGGACCAGAGAGACCTGATTGGAGATTTTTCCAAGGTAATTCCTCCTTCCTCCTTTTTTTTTTTTAGATAAAGTTTTATTGAGTTTTAACAAAACAAGTAAAACATCTTATTTGAGTACAGCATGGTTCCGGGTTATCACATTTCCATACAGACACAATTTCATATGCATATTCATCTTATGTATTCAACTCCATGTCTTATTACTCTTTTCCCAACTTCTCACTATTTCTCCCTTTGCTTCTCTTAATTTTCTTTTATGGTTATCTCATTTCCTTCTTATTCAATTGTATATCTTTTACCCAAATTTCTATATCTTTTTATTCATTATACTTATACTTTCGTCTGTTGTTTACAATTTCATTATGTTCTCTTATCAATCTTTGAGAGCAGTTGAAATGTTTCCCTCCCTTCTTCCTTATTACTTAACTGTTGATAATCACACAGTTTTATCTTATAAGTTACTTACTATTAATAAGCAGAATAATTATTCAAATTCATTCTAGTAACTGGTATAAGTTTCCTTTTAAATCTTTCACATTTCTTTTCAATATTTTATCCATCTTCAGAAACAATTACAATGTTTCCCTCTCTTCTTTATTATTGCATTAATTATAAATAAACATACCATTACATAACAATACAGTTTTATCTCATGGATTATTTACTTATTTCATTTCTTACTCATTACAGTATTCTACTGTCACAAAACTTTCTTTTGTACCTTTGCAGAATCCTCACTTTTAACTTAATTTAGCCATTGTCTCTGTGTTTTCTAGCTGAGCAAATACCTTTAATCGTAGTACATTTCTCCTTTTTCTTTATTTCCTGTTTTTGTCCCTCATGAGTTCTTTCCCTTTCTATCTCCCCCCCTCCTTTTTTCTCATCCCCTTTTTTATAATTTTCTCTCTCTAATTTTCCCTTCTGTGGTTTTCTTTCATGCTTCTCCTTGCTGTTATACTTCTTTTTCAGACTATTTTTCATTTTGGCTGTTCCCTTTGATCTCAAACTTTTAACTCCTTTCTCCCCTTTTCCCCCTAATTACCACACTTTGCATTATTTGATCCTTGAAAATGGCTTCTTCTTTGTCCCGCCCTTCTTCTTGCTCTTGAAGCTTTTCCTTTTGCTTTTCATAGTTCAGGATCTCCATTTCAAGAAATTCAAATACGAAGCCAAAGGATCTTCCTCCCCTTTCTGCATCTTCTTTCTGTTTTTTAAGACTCATCTTCAATTCCTCCAGGAGTGATGGCAATTTAAGCACTTTTGAACAACCATCCGATTGACTTTAAGTAAAAACAGAAAAAGAAAGAAAAAACCAATGCCAAAAACTTTTTTAAATCACCAAGTGATCCCAGACTGTTCCTTCTTGTTTCTTACCTTTCCTTTTCTTTTCCGTGGGTTACTGCATCTTTTAATAAGGTTTCATTTACAATGTATCCGTGGGAGTCTTTTCAAAGTTTTGCTGTTAATCCTCTTTATATTTCCAGGTGGTACTCCATTTTTCCATTATTCCAAGTTCCACCCTTTTGCCTCCACTCTTCTCCTTTTTAGGGCTTTAAAATGACCAAAGAAAAAATCTTTATTCTCCTTTTGACACTTAAATTTCAGCTTAAAGTTGCCTATTAGTGTCAAAGTAAATTAATATAGATTTCTTTCCATATCATTTGTAATTGTCAGTATAAAGGTACAAAAAGGGTTTTTAACCTCTTTTTCTCTCTCCTTCGCCGCTTAAAAGTCTTCTTTCAGAAGTATCCCTCTAAGTCCTTTTAGATTCAGGGTACCTTGCTTAGATGTTCTCTGTTGTTTAGCCCGGTCTGTCCTGCTTTCCTCTTTGTCTTCCTCCTGCACAATCTTATCCAGTTGGGTTCTTCTTTGAGGTGGCCGTTTCTGACCACCGCTGCAACCGCCTTCGGGAAAGGGAATTTAGACCAGCCAAGGAGGAGAGATGCGGCTCCCCTCCACTCGGCTAGCAATCTCTCCCCCTTTCACGCCCTCCACGGGGTGGCTTCAGCCCTGAATCCAAAGGATCGGGGCGCTCCAGCGGCGAGCACAGATCAAAACCACGCATGATCGCGGATTTCGGTTTGTTGCTGAAGAAACCCAAACCGGAAGCCATAATTCCTCCTTCCTCCCAGTTTAATATCAGGCTCCTCTTCGCAGCCTGTGCCAGGCAGTGTGTGTGTACATGTTTGTGTGTGTGCGTATTGTCTCCCTCCTAGCAACAATTTTTTTTGTCGTGCCTCTGCAGGGTTACCTCTTCCGCACCGTTGATGGCAAACATCAGGATCTGAAGTACATCGATCCAGAAATGGTACACGACCCGCAGGGATGGGATGCAAATGTTTATACTACCGGTTCTGTGGACGTGGCTAAATGGGCCGTGGGACTGGGTGGGCGTGGCTGTTTTTTTTTTTTTTTTTTTTTTTTTTTTTTTTGCTCCAAGGAGGCTTTCCTGAGGCCCAGGAGGCCAAAAACGGAGCTGGAGGAGGGGGTCGCGGCAAACAGTCCCCTCCCACGTGCCCCTTTTTGCCTCCTGGTCCTCAGGGAAGCCTCCTGGGCCAAGCGGCAAGACAGCGAGGGGCATCCTGGAACAGCTGATCGTCGGAACAGCTGATCATAAGGAGACCAGGGGGGAAAAAAGAAACACTGGTTCATCCAAACCGGTAGCTGGTTTCTTTTACTACCGGTTCGGCCGAATGGCAGCATTGTTTACTGCCGAACTGGGCCCAACCACTGGCGATCCCTCACCCCACCCTCGGGAGCCAAGGAATTCTGTTTTTCTGATGGGAACAGAAACTGTTTCCGAGACTTAAAAAAAGAAGCAGACATTTATTTCCCAGCTCCGTCCGCATGGATTTGCCCTAATTGCTTTTCATTCCTTGAATCTTGCATTTTTCCCCCCCCTCCATGTCTCACCTCGACCTCTGTTCATCTTTGGATCTGTATTGTTGAATTTCTGAAATTAATTTACCTGACAGCAGTGTTCCCATATTTGAGGGGCTGTCACTCAAAAGAAGAGGGACGGGGGGGGGGGGGACAACTTCTCAATCAAAGTACCTTTGAAAGCCAGGCGAGGAACAAAGGGGTGGCAATCGATCAAGGAGAGATTTCACCTAGAAATAAGGAGGATTTTCCCTGACGGCGAGAATGATGAGCCGGTGGAACAGCTTGCCACCACATCTGGGTATTCCCATCACTGGGGGGGGGGTTTCAAGAAGAGACTAGACAGCACCCCTGTTTGGAATGGTCTGCGACTCCTCCTTGAGCGGGGATTGGACTAGATGACCTCCAAGGGTCCTTTCTGACCTGTGATTCTGTAACAATCTGCCCGAGCAGAGGGTTGGACTAGATGACCTCTGAGGTCCCTTCCAACTCATTCTGTAAGGGTCTCCTGCTTGAGCAGAGGGTTGGACTAGAAGACCTTCAAGATCCCTTCCCACTCTTGGTCGTTAATTAATTCATTTTAAGTTAATTTAAAGTTAGTCCATTTGTGAAAGTGCTCAAACTCTTCTTTTTTGTCTCCCCAACCCGCATGCAGATCGTCGCTGTCCTGAACGGCAGCTTTTCCGTCTTCATCGCGCAGTGCGTGATCATCGATTGCAGGTTCCCCTACGAGTACGCGGGGGGTCACATCAAGGTATGCA